GTAGGAAGTTTGTGCTCCAAACAGTGCTTCACAATGGTGGTTCCAATTTGAATAACCTGAGAATATTTTTTATACTGATGCAACTCACATTCCCCACCCTCTCCCATTCTCATTAAATTGGTCCAGAATGAAGATCAAATATTCGTCTTTCTTAAAAGTTACTAAGGTGAGTCTAATGAGCTCTTCTAGAGACAAGATGGAGTAGAGATGCATTTCTCTCTATTCCTCCAGCTATGTGAAACAATAATAACAGAAAACAGATTAAAAATGAGAAAACTCTGAAAGGTGAAAAGAAAGTGGCAGCCTGGCTACAGAACTTAGGTTTTCTTACCATTTCTTTCTGAGGTAAAATTCATGTATTACAAAATTAACCATCTAAAAATAGTGTGCAGTTCGTGGTAAAATACACCACCATATTTACTAACATGTTTTTCTAATATTTGTCTTGTATAAATAATACAGCAGTGAACATTTGGTACATTCACAATACTGTGCAACCATTACTTCTACCCAGTTCCAAAACATTTTCATCACACCAAAAGAGTATCATATCCATTTAGACATATTCCTTCCTCCTATACTCCAAGCCCTGGCAACCAGTAATTTGCTTTCTCTGTGCATTTACCTATCCTGGATATTTCATATAAATGGAACCATCCTTTTGCAACAGGCTTCTTTTGCTTAGCATAATGTTTTCAAAGTTTATCCATGTTGTACCATGTATCCACACTTGAATTCCTTTTCTATGGTTAAATAATACCCCATTATATTGATATATCACCATTTGTTTATTAGTTAATGGACATTTGGATTGTTTCCACATTTTGGGTAGAGTGAATAATGCTGCAATGAACACTGGTGTACAAGTATCTATTTGAGTAGATACAAAATTCTGTTTAACTTTTTGAGGAACCACCAAACTCCTTTCTACAGCAACTGTACCATTTCACATTCCCACCAGCAATGCATGAGGGTTCCAATGTCTCCACATCTTTGACAACATTAATTATTTTCTATTCTTTCGACTAAAGCCATCCCAGTGGGTATGAAGTGATCCTTCACTGTAGTTTTGATTTGAAATTCTATAATAACTAATGATGTTTAGCATTTTCTTTTTCATATGCTTGTTGGCCATTTGTATGTCTTTAGAAAAATGCCTAATCAAGTCTTTTGCCCATTTTTAAAACTAGGTTGATACTCTTTTTGTTACTGAGTTCTAAGACTTCCTCTTATACTGTGGAGTTAGACCCTAATTGGAAATGTACTTCGTAAATATTTCTCCCACTTTGTAGGTGTCTTTCACTTTCTTCATCATATATTTGGCTACACAAAAGTTTTAATTTTTTGTGAAGCCAAATTTATTAATATTTTCCCTTTGATGTTTGTGCTTTTGGTGTCTTATATAGCAACTAATTGCCAAACACGGTATCACGAAGAATTACCCATGTATTTACTTTTAAAAGTTGTTTCTTAATTGATGCATAGTTGACATCAATGCATGACATAGTAATTCAAACTTTCTACACACTTTAAAATGATCACCATAATAAGTGTAGTTGCATCTGTCACCACACCAAGTTACCACAGTATTATTGACTATAGTCCCCTTGCTATATATCTTTCATCCCATGACTTATTTATTTTATAACTGTAAGTTCACACCTCTTATTAATCTCATTCACTTACCTCACCTTTCCCCAAATCTCTCTCCCTTCTGGCAATCACCAGTTATTCTCTGCATTTATGAGTCTGTTTCTGGGTTATTCATTTGTTCATTTGTTTTATAGATTCCAAATATACATGAAGTTAGGTGGCATTTGTCTTTCTCTGTTTGACTTACTTCAATTAGCATAACACCCTCTATGTCTATCCAAATTGTCAGAAATAGCAAGCTTTCATTCTTTTAAGTGACTGGATAATATTCCATTTTTACATATACCACATCTTTATCCATTCACCCATTGATGGACACTTAGGTTATTTCCATATCTTGTCTACTGTAAATAATGCTGCAATAAACATATGAGTGCATGTATCTATTTAAATTAGTGTATTTGTCTTTGAGTAATACACAGAAGTGGAATTACTGGATCATACAGTATTTCAATTTTTAATTTTGTGAGCCTCCCATGTTTTCTATAATGGCTGACCACTTTATATTCCCATCAACAGTGGGTTCCCTTTGCTTCATATCTGCACCAACATTTTTTACCTATTATCTCCTGGACAATGGCCATTCTGCCTGGTGTGAGGTGCTATCTCATTGCACTTCTGATTTGCATCTCTCTTATGACTAGTGATGTTGAGACTCCTTTCATATGTTTCTTGGCCATCTATATGTCTTCTTTGGAAAAATGCCTATTGAGTTCCTTTGGCCATTTTGTGGTTTCATGCAAATTTTAGGAGTATTGACCTAGTTATATAAAAAATGCCATAGGTATTTTGATAGAGATTGACCTGAATATGTATATTGCTTTGGGTAATATGGCCATTTAACAGTATTAATTTTTCTGATCCATTAGCATGGTATATATTTCCTTTTTTTCTTTAAATTGTTTTTCTATTAAGCTATCACTGATACACAATCTTATGCTCAGGTTTGACATGAGCAACACTGTGGTTACTACATTCCCCTTATTATCAAGTTGCCACCAAATACTCCATCACAGACACTGTCCATCAGCATAGTTAGATGCTACAGAGTCACTACTTCTCTCTGCTGTATTTCCTTCCCTGTGCCCCCACTATTGTGCACTAATCATAATGCCCCTTAATCCCCTTATTCTTCCCTTCCCACTAACCCTCCCAAGTATGTTTCCCTTTGCTAATCCACTCTCGGGTTCTGTGAGTCTGCTGCTGTTTTGTTCCTTCAGATTTTGCTTTGTTCTTATGCTCCACAGATGAGTGAAATCATTTGGTACTTCTCTTTCTCCGCCTGGCTTATTTCAATCAATGAGTATACTGCCCTTGAACTCCATCCATATTGCTGCAAATGGTAGGATTTGTTTTCTTTTTATGGCTGAATATTCCATTGTGTATATGTACCACATCTTCTTTATCCATTCATCTACTGATGGACACTTCGGTTGTTCCTTACCTTGGCTATTGTAAATAGTGCTGCAATAAACATACAGCCGCACAGGACGTTTTGAATGTGTGATTATGTTTTCTTAGGGTAAATTTCTAGGAGTGGAATTCCTGTGTCAAATGGTATTTATATTTTTAGTTTTTTGAGAGACATCCATACTACTTTCCACAGTGGGGACAGCCAGTTTGCATGTGGGTGCCAGTAGGGAGGTAGGCTGCTTATCTCAGTGAGAGATCTAGGGGCTGCATTGCCAACCAGAAGGATGGAGCGTCTGAAGCTCCTGAAATTTCCCAACCTGCTGGGCTGAGTGTGCCAGGATGATTTTGTGCACCTGTTCCTTCTCCTAAACCCTTGCTTGCCCCTTTAGCAGCCCTCTGACTGTTGAGAGGTCCCTTAAAGCACCTGCTTTTCTTTTGTCCCAGGGCAGCTGGTTATAGGAACCTGTTCACATTCTTAGTCTCTGACTTTAATTTTCAGCCCCTCTAATCTCCAGAGCACCATGCAATGTTGGTATGTGCTCCCAGGGTAGATTTCTACAGCTGGGTATTTAGCAGTCCTGTGCTTCCACTCCCTCCCACTCTGATCCTCTTCCTCCCACCAGTGAGCTGGGGTGAGGGGAATGCTTGGGTCCCGCCAGGTTATGGCTTTTTTTACTTTATTTACCCTTTTCTGTGAGATTTTCACTTATCCCATATGTAGACTGACACACTCTCACTTCTGGTCACTCTTTTAGGAATGTATTTTCAAAATATATATGGTTTTGGGAGGAGATTTTCACCACCCTTCTCATGGTGCTATCTTTTTTCCTCGCTGCTATATCTTTCCATTTGTTTGTGTTGTCTTCAACTGTCCTACACAGGTGGACCTTCCTTTGTTTTTTCACATCATTCTCATAGTTTTTCATATAAAATCAGTAAATGATGCCATGAAAAAGCAATATTTAACGTCCAATATTTACTTTCTACTAACCATTTATTCAGAGACCTACGATCCTGACCATGAGAGGCAGAGCAAGACAAGGGAAGTTGGAATCCTACCCTTCTTGGAAGAGTTATTTGTATTTTGTATAACAATTTTATCAATAAGGACTTTCAAACTGATTTCTAAAGCACTGATACAAGAAACCGTTTCTTCAGCCTCCCAATTTTTCTAAACTATACAAAATGGTTTCTTCGAAAAAGTCATTCTCCTGTACTAATCAAGGGAGTATCATATTCTTTTGTAACCATATAAATTTACAAATAATTCAACATTTCTGTTATTTACCACATTGTATATTCTTTTTTCTATGATGTGATCTTTCCAATAAGAAGAATCATGATTAAAATTATTAAAGAATTAGTAACAATCTAAGGAACTTAACTAATGCCCAAGAATTGCAGACTTCTGAAATTTAATCTCTATCTCTTTTGGGAGGGTTTTTGAAACTTTCTACTTGGGAAATTAAAATTTAACAAATAAAAAATTTTGGTTAGAGACATATTGCCATGAATGCTACAAAAAACTAATTTCACCTTAATGCAGGCTTATTTATGTAAGACTCAAGATAAATTAAAATTTTTAATGTTTTATTTCAGTATTTTACTACTGAAATAATATTTTAACCTTTACGCTCAATTTTCTCTCTTTAAGTGAAGAAGCATCAATTAGATTTGCTTTTCAGCTGTCTGAGACTCATAAATAAATTGGCACTAGTTTAGACTTGTAATTATAAAAACCTTAAGGAAATTACCTTACAGATTAAAACACCAAGAAAAAGACGAACAAAGACAAAAGAATTACCTCTTATTATTCAATTTAAAATTTTAGAAAACCTCACTAAATCAGTGAACATTATAAATCAGAAAGAACTTTATATTGTGAAAAGAAAGAAAACCTAAAATGAAAATGAAAGACATCAGCTTACACTTACTGGGTTATCTGTGGAATCATCAGCCAACTGTAAACCAAAATAGTCACGCTCAGTCAAATCAAGATGCTTGAAGACAATATCCAGCAGAACTTGGCCCTGATCGTGTTTCTAGAAGAAAAATAAAAGGAAATCAACACTGACAGGCTATACTTTTAGATTTTTAACCTCTTGGATTGTCTCTTCTTCTATTAAATTGGCAATGATTTCCAAGTCAGGTACATAATGGCACTGACTTAAAAACAGTCTGAATTAAGACAAACTGGTTCAAAGTATACATAATAAATATGACAATGTAAGGAAAACCTCTGATTGGAAATGTTTTCTACTTTCAGGCTACTATCATAGTATTTTAGTAATTTTATATTCTTATCAGATCAACTCATGTATATATATATATATCTGTATCACCTGTCTTACTGTTTTTATTCTTACATTTAAATTATGACTGGAAAGTGAGACATTTGACTGAATATAGTTTAAAATTTGTGTATATAAAATAAATGCCACAAAAGGGAAACAAAAGAATGAAAATTATTTGTAGCAAACTGAAAAGAATTGGTTTTTATTATAAAAGTATTTAGAGTTTTAGAAAAATATTTAAACCACACACCATTTCTATCATATAGGTATCGTTCATTACCCACTATTATCTTACTATTTTATTAAGAATAATAACTTCCCTAAGTCCCACAATTACTGCAAATGACATGACTCAATAATTCCCTAAAAAAGAAATGAAACTGATAAATAAAAACTGAGAAACAATCAACATGTTCAGTAATAAAAGAAATCAAAGTAGAAAACTATGACATGGCATGAGCAAACAACAACCCAAAAAACAAACTACAATGAGTGAGATAAAAATACTTTTATTGCTAACATCATAGATATATATAATCCGTTGTAAAAGCAATTTGGAAATGTTATACAAGAGCAGTAACAATATTGACTACTTCTGTCACGCCACCCTGACTGGAAAATAAAATCCCATGTTGGGGGAAATAGTTATACATATCAGCATGTTCACTGCTATATTATTTATACAAGACAAATTCTAGAAAAACATGTTAGTAAACAATGGTATATTTTACCACTGATTTTTCCTCTCATTAGCTATAACAGTTTAGTAGTTTCCAGTTACAAGTTAGAATCAAAATTCAGAACTGAAACTATAAGAACACATGTTTTTCATATAATGTAAGGTACAGAGGTATGTCAGTCTCCAGCACTGGCTAATACAACAACTGAGAGATATGATGAAGTACCAGATTTCTTTCCATCCCTATTACCTACCTTCCTGGTGTTGACTGCACTTATAGACTGTTAACAAGATGGACATAACAATTTCAAAATTAAACCTAGCCATAAGAAAGTTCAAAAAAATAACCTTTCTTGTAAGGTCACCTTACAAAGAGCTTCTGTTCACGTTTATTAGCCAGATTAGGTCAAACAACTATTTGCAAAACTTGTCAGTGGTAGGAAGTTTGTGCTCCAAACAGTGCTTCACAATGGTGGTTCCAATTTGAATAACCTGAGAATATTTTTTATACTGATGCAACTCACATTCCCCACCCTCTCCCATTCTCATTAAATTGGTCCAGAATGAAGATCAAATATTCGTCTTTCTTAAAAGTTACTAAGGTGAGTCTAATGAGCTCTTCTAGAGACAAGATGGAGTAGAGATGCATTTCTCTCTATTCCTCCAGCTATGTGAAACAATAATAACAGAAAACAGATTAAAAATGAGAAAACTCTGAAAGGTGAAAAGAAAGTGGCAGCCTGGCTACAGAACTTAGGTTTTCTTACCATTTCTTTCTGAGGTAAAATTCATGTATTACAAAATTAACCATCTAAAAATAGTGTGCAGTTCGTGGTAAAATACACCACCATATTTACTAACATGTTTTTCTAATATTTGTCTTGTATAAATAATACAGCAGTGAACATTTGGTACATTCACAATACTGTGCAACCATTACTTCTACCCAGTTCCAAAACATTTTCATCACACCAAAAGAGTATCATATCCATTTAGACATATTCCTTCCTCCTATACTCCAAGCCCTGGCAACCAGTAATTTGCTTTCTCTGTGCATTTACCTATCCTGGATATTTCATATAAATGGAACCATCCTTTTGCAACAGGCTTCTTTTGCTTAGCATAATGTTTTCAAAGTTTATCCATGTTGTACCATGTATCCACACTTGAATTCCTTTTCTATGGTTAAATAATACCCCATTATATTGATATATCACCATTTGTTTATTAGTTAATGGACATTTGGATTGTTTCCACATTTTGGGTAGAGTGAATAATGCTGCAATGAACACTGGTGTACAAGTATCTATTTGAGTAGATACAAAATTCTGTTTAACTTTTTGAGGAACCACCAAACTCCTTTCTACAGCAACTGTACCATTTCACATTCCCACCAGCAATGCATGAGGGTTCCAATGTCTCCACATCTTTGACAACATTAATTATTTTCTATTCTTTCGACTAAAGCCATCCCAGTGGGTATGAAGTGATCCTTCACTGTAGTTTTGATTTGAAATTCTATAATAACTAATGATGTTTAGCATTTTCTTTTTCATATGCTTGTTGGCCATTTGTATGTCTTTAGAAAAATGCCTAATCAAGTCTTTTGCCCATTTTTAAAACTAGGTTGATACTCTTTTTGTTACTGAGTTCTAAGACTTCCTCTTATACTGTGGAGTTAGACCCTAATTGGAAATGTACTTCGTAAATATTTCTCCCACTTTGTAGGTGTCTTTCACTTTCTTCATCATATATTTGGCTACACAAAAGTTTTAATTTTTTGTGAAGCCAAATTTATTAATATTTTCCCTTTGATGTTTGTGCTTTTGGTGTCTTATATAGCAACTAATTGCCAAACACGGTATCACGAAGAATTACCCATGTATTTACTTTTAAAAGTTGTTTCTTAATTGATGCATAGTTGACATCAATGCATGACATAGTAATTCAAACTTTCTACACACTTTAAAATGATCACCATAATAAGTGTAGTTGCATCTGTCACCACACCAAGTTACCACAGTATTATTGACTATAGTCCCCTTGCTATATATCTTTCATCCCATGACTTATTTATTTTATAACTGTAAGTTCACACCTCTTATTAATCTCATTCACTTACCTCACCTTTCCCCAAATCTCTCTCCCTTCTGGCAATCACCAGTTATTCTCTGCATTTATGAGTCTGTTTCTGGGTTATTCATTTGTTCATTTGTTTTATAGATTCCAAATATACATGAAGTTAGGTGGCATTTGTCTTTCTCTGTTTGACTTACTTCAATTAGCATAACACCCTCTATGTCTATCCAAATTGTCAGAAATAGCAAGCTTTCATTCTTTTAAGTGACTGGATAATATTCCATTTTTACATATACCACATCTTTATCCATTCACCCATTGATGGACACTTAGGTTATTTCCATATCTTGTCTACTGTAAATAATGCTGCAATAAACATATGAGTGCATGTATCTATTTAAATTAGTGTATTTGTCTTTGAGTAATACACAGAAGTGGAATTACTGGATCATACAGTATTTCAATTTTTAATTTTGTGAGCCTCCCATGTTTTCTATAATGGCTGACCACTTTATATTCCCATCAACAGTGGGTTCCCTTTGCTTCATATCTGCACCAACATTTTTTACCTATTATCTCCTGGACAATGGCCATTCTGCCTGGTGTGAGGTGCTATCTCATTGCACTTCTGATTTGCATCTCTCTTATGACTAGTGATGTTGAGACTCCTTTCATATGTTTCTTGGCCATCTATATGTCTTCTTTGGAAAAATGCCTATTGAGTTCCTTTGGCCATTTTGTGGTTTCATGCAAATTTTAGGAGTATTGACCTAGTTATATAAAAAATGCCATAGGTATTTTGATAGAGATTGACCTGAATATGTATATTGCTTTGGGTAATATGGCCATTTAACAGTATTAATTTTTCTGATCCATTAGCATGGTATATATTTCCTTTTTTTCTTTAAATTGTTTTTCTATTAAGCTATCACTGATACACAATCTTATGCTCAGGTTTGACATGAGCAACACTGTGGTTACTACATTCCCCTTATTATCAAGTTGCCACCAAATACTCCATCACAGACACTGTCCATCAGCATAGTTAGATGCTACAGAGTCACTACTTCTCTCTGCTGTATTTCCTTCCCTGTGCCCCCACTATTGTGCACTAATCATAATGCCCCTTAATCCCCTTATTCTTCCCTTCCCACTAACCCTCCCAAGTATGTTTCCCTTTGCTAATCCACTCTCGGGTTCTGTGAGTCTGCTGCTGTTTTGTTCCTTCAGATTTTGCTTTGTTCTTATGCTCCACAGATGAGTGAAATCATTTGGTACTTCTCTTTCTCCGCCTGGCTTATTTCAATCAATGAGTATACTGCCCTTGAACTCCATCCATATTGCTGCAAATGGTAGGATTTGTTTTCTTTTTATGGCTGAATATTCCATTGTGTATATGTACCACATCTTCTTTATCCATTCATCTACTGATGGACACTTCGGTTGTTCCTTACCTTGGCTATTGTAAATAGTGCTGCAATAAACATACAGCCGCACAGGACGTTTTGAATGTGTGATTATGTTTTCTTAGGGTAAATTTCTAGGAGTGGAATTCCTGTGTCAAATGGTATTTATATTTTTAGTTTTTTGAGAGACATCCATACTACTTTCCACAGTGGGGACAGCCAGTTTGCATGTGGGTGCCAGTAGGGAGGTAGGCTGCTTATCTCAGTGAGAGATCTAGGGGCTGCATTGCCAACCAGAAGGATGGAGCGTCTGAAGCTCCTGAAATTTCCCAACCTGCTGGGCTGAGTGTGCCAGGATGATTTTGTGCACCTGTTCCTTCTCCTAAACCCTTGCTTGCCCCTTTAGCAGCCCTCTGACTGTTGAGAGGTCCCTTAAAGCACCTGCTTTTCTTTTGTCCCAGGGCAGCTGGTTATAGGAACCTGTTCACATTCTTAGTCTCTGACTTTAATTTTCAGCCCCTCTAATCTCCAGAGCACCATGCAATGTTGGTATGTGCTCCCAGGGTAGATTTCTACAGCTGGGT